CTTGACTGTATTGTGAAGGTGAATGAGTGCAACGAATTTGATGTCATAGTAGATCGCAAACCAACAGGCTCCGGATGATATTTAAACCATAACTCCAGTACTTCGTTTGAAATCAAACAATCATACGTTTTCTGTTGAACAGAGCGAGCGAAGTATTTATATTGACACACTGAATGAAGCGGAATTCAGGAAGATCAGGATTACCTTAAGCACAAACCAATGCCCATCACCAATGATCGATAGAATTCTCGTTTCCATGCAGCGACAGTGTCAAACGTCGGACAAACCTTCCCACGTAACTGTTTAAATCCTTTACCGGGAAAAAAACATCAGAAGCTATCATGACCGTAATGTTGCAACGTTCTATCCTGACAATATTATATCGATATATGGTGCATTGAAAAGATACGATATTCCCAGTGATTCCTTTCAAGAAATTCAGAGCGGGGATTGTGTGGCACCTATACAAGCGAAATAAGTAGACAGATGAGCTGAACAAAAGAGATGCACACGAAATCCCCTCTGTTTGCAGAAAAACTTAGGCTCGTTCACTTCGGATGCGTCTGGCCAACTGGATATCTTTTGGCATGATGATCACTCGCTTTGCAGGGATGACGCAAAGGTTAATGTCCTCAAACAAACCTAATAGGCAATATCCAGCTGGAGAAACTAGAAAAGTATTCAGTCTCTGTTCTACATGTGTTATCAGAAGGACATGGCATCTTACTCGACCAAAAGCGGGTCCTCTTAACAGGTTTACAGATTATCCGTGCAAAACCTTGTGCGTAGTCATCCTCAATCCATCCACATCCGTTTGCGTGAATCGGAAAGATAATCAAATCTTGTCATGCGTATGGTTAAACCTGCTGAACGCGATCAAATGTCAACTTGGGCCCAGTGTAAATTGATCTTGGGCCAGCTCACTTCCTTACACGCAATGACACATACTTACTCACCCACGCACAAACACAATCACTGGTTTACATCATTCAGTAACACGTTGACATTTCACGATGACCTGTGTTTGACCTTTGTTATCTTGTAATATTGATTCCGATTCGCATCTTCCGGAGGAAGACTATCTGAGTTGGCCGAAACATTGATTAGTAAATTTCGTGCAGCAACGTTATGCTATTCACAGGCTTTTCCGGATTTTACTAAATGTAAAACAGCGCGCAAGCTCTTCGATCGCATTGGTACAAAATGTGGTACCGATTTTACAAAGCCTCTATTGATCCTCTCTCTTCTTTCGTGCACTCATCTGGAAGCACCTGTTACAGTCGTCTGATCGGGGTATTGATCCTTACTAATCCAGGCTCAAAAGCTCGTTTTCCCGCGCATTCTCTTATCCACCGATTAGCTGGTCACTGTCAGTAACGTGCTCGTTTGGATCACACATGATTTCTTTAGGATATCAGCAGAGTGTCACTTACTGTTTATTTCATCGGTTCCTTGTCATCTTTATCAGTCAACCTTTTGCGACTCGTTCCAGTGCCGCGATGCTAGTCTACGGTACTTATTATTTAATCCCTTCCTTACTCAGCGTAAATTACTCTCCACATGTTAGAAAACCTTTGTGTTACTGTTGTTTCACCTTTTGGGTACGCAATACTATCTAGTAGGCCCGATTATAATGTATGAAAATCAATTGTAATCACAAGCCATATTATTTCTGGGGCTGGTAATTATCTATCGGGTGCGTTCATACCAAAACGTTATTAACAAATTGTATCGACTATACACCTAAGTTAGAACTATTTCGGGCGTAGCGGAAATTTTGTTGAAATGGTTTCCACGATGCTCACTAAAGCACAGAGTACTACCTATCTATCGATCGAGCTGAAATAGTTTAGAATATATAAATAACGAATACTGCATGAGGTTTTACACTGCCAATGAGTGAGTTGCAGCGATTTACTGGGAGTTCCGTCGACTGACCATGATAGGAACTTGTGCATTCTTCAAGTGCCGCTTGCTAGTTCAGATATTCATTACTGTTCACAGTAATCTGTCATAGAAGAATCCAGTCATAAATTACCAGTCTATTGAGGTGTAGGATAAGAGTGATGGGTACATCTTCACATGACAAAAGGACTGAATCTGAAGTTTTGGTGTCCATGGGCGATTGTTTTAGTTCATTTTAGCAATTTGTCCATAAATGGCTTGAGAAGTCGCCTACAAGACCACAAACATGTGCATAACTCAGTAAGGAACATAGACAACCGGTACAAAATCAGGGTCATTGACGCCATTCAAGTGCATGTAGCTAGTTCCAGATGTACACGTTCTCCATCCCATTTCAACACACCCCAGCGCTACATAATTCCTTGTGAAGCTTGAAGTTATAGCGGTATCACAACATCAAAGCGGTAACTAGTGTATAATTTGTTTTGATGTTTGTGGGTGTCCAGTACCACACGGCTCGAAAACGCCTCGGGGTAGTAGATAGACAATCCCTCATCAAGCCCCCTCCGCAGTCGGTTAGCCTAAAACAGATGTTTTATCAGTGGGCTACCAAAAGACGGGTTTGGTTACACTGAAAAATACAATTGCGGAATCCGATTTTGTTTTGATGAACCCTAGGTACAATCCGACAGGTTAAACTGACAGTGATTGATACAAGTTGGTCTTTGTAGATAGCAAGGTTTATGCCTAAATTCAAACATGTTTCAGAAAGTAGAAATGTGTGTAATTGAGAAAATCAGTGTTGATTTATTGTGCAACATCTAGGTTCAGTCCAGTAAACCAATCCCCAGCTTTGAGTTGAGAAGCGATATTCACACGGTAGTGGCGTACAACGTGAGGTTGGCAATTTACTTCGTTGATTTCGTAGAACTGTTTGAGCACGTGTGAACTAAACTTCTTTTTCAATTGCACATCAGTGCTGGCTTGATATCAGACATTGATAGAGTCGTTTGCACTTGCGTAATCAAACCAGTATCACTAGCTCATAAAGACGGATTAATTGAAAACCGGAGATGTTTTATTCATATTCAAAAGGATGACTGTATGAACCATTGATAGTCATCTTAGTTACCAACAATATTGATCAAAAACCATGATTTTTACGTTTTAGATGGCACCAGCCCCCAATGGGTATATTACCTTAAACGTTTCACTAGTTTCATTAGCTGAATGATGGCCCATCAATGGGTATTGTGTACCACAATTACTGACCGGTGCTAAGCTAAAATGTAGCAAGTAGAATGCGATTTAGTTTTTAGTCCTCCGATTCACAACACTTTTGATTACCTCTCAAAACAATGACCTTCTACTAGTGAATCAAGTATTAACAAAACCAATCATCCCTTTTCGGATGGAAAAACTGCGGTGCTACACAGTATCAAGAAATGTTCAATCTGCAAAGTTTGAGAATGCATCTTTTGCATTCGGCTAATTAAACTTGACGATATTATAATCCCAGGAAATAAAAGAAAATTATTTTTTCCGCTGTGTGTATATAAATTACTTCCTGATTGAAATAATACTACCTGTGGAAAATAAAGAAACGTTCAAAGGAAGCACGTCGAAATTCGTACGTGTTATTCAATACGTAACTAACATGGTACACACTACATGTGTTGTAGTGCCAACTTGGCGTAGTCGCTTATTGTACTCAATAGTTGCTCATTGAAGTGATTATTCATCGATACAGACAGGTCAGTAATCCTTTACTCTAAACCATGTCTGCAGTCGCGTCTATAGCGCATGACAATGATCTACATTTACTGTCAGCTGAGCAACAGTTGAGCAGCCCTTGATTGTCCATGTTCGGTGTTTGGTCGTATATATTCCTGGCGCACATTTAGCACAACCGTTCTTCCACGGCACGAAGTGTGTGTCTGGGTACATTGACCGAACCCGGAAAATTAAAACATTCGATAAATCACTTTCTTACCAAAATGTACTCGGACAATTTGCTCATAAGTTTAATTATACTAATTAGCAGCAGTTTTTCTTTGGTCAAAAATGAAAGCAATGTTTGTTTAGCAAAGTATCACAAAACGATTATTCTTTGAACAAACGAGATTAGGTCAAACACTTCGTTGTTTCAGCCTTAGGAGTCGATGAAACGAATCATCTCAAACTATGAAAATTCAGGTGGTAAAATGATTGATAATTGGCGGTGCAAGCTTCGGCCAAAAACAAGTACTCTTTTTATCACAATAACTGATCAGCGTCATTCTAAAGGAGGTACGACGGGGGCTCCCGCTGTCTACTATGCATCTGTTCGCTCTAATATTGAAAGTATACACTTCAGAGACGACTAAAACAGGCACTTTATGACTTTAGATCAGGGATAACACTAAGTAAATGTCGGGTAATACGACTTTTAGGCGTACTGTACTGTTATTTTGTTCCATTCTTCTCATTCTTGGAAGGATAAATCCTTCCGAAGGTTTCCAAAAACCTCAAATCCCATCTCAAGGACACTTATTAGTTGAGCGTAAGTAGGTATTCTGTTTCAATTTTTCCGTTTTATTTCGTTCTTATTATTAAATAAGAACAAAATAACTTGTTGGCAATCAAGTATTTCATGCTCACGCAATGAAATTATATCAGTTTCCACTATGACACTTCACTGCTTCCTTAGAAACAGTCTTCATTTTTCGCACTTTTTCATTTGATTTATTTTTAATGAATATACAAAGATACAATTTTCAGAATGGGGGAAGCGGCCAATCAAAGGTCTGATATTCAACACACAATGGGGAAAGTCAAGCGGTGATAGTGAGATTCGAACACTCGTCCCCGGAGTGATAATTTGGCGACGTTACCACCGAGTCACCACTGCCTTATTAAAATGCGTTTATTAACTTTTTCATGTGATTTTATTTCACTCTGAAAAAGCGAACCCTTTTCTTTGCGTGATTCATTAAGAAACTACTCTTGCTTCATGCCTTTGAGGTGATGATTGCCGGTTGCACGCTGGGTTCCATACATAACTCCTGGACGATAATAAACACCAAAGCACTGATGGTGAATACCTAACTAAGTATTTTGATGGGTACAAGAAAATGCTGGGAGACATCATTTAGCTAACAAACATAATTTATCTCAGTAAATGAAATGGTTCATCAAATTAAATTTTGGATCGGTACAAGATGTTTATGTTCATTATTGTGCCTTCGATTCTATTTTCGAAAACCACGTTCTGCCGAACAGAATAATATATTCAACATTGCCTGACATAATGATAGAAACGATATAAAAGTTTTGTAAACAACTAAGTTATACTTTTATCAGAACCACGGAGAACATGTAAACTGTTTTTTCATTAACTGAAATGAAAGGAGGATATTCTGTTATTGAATTTTTATAGTATGTTGAATTCAATGGGAAACGTGTGATGTCCTTTCTAATGTGTGTTATTGATTGCTTTTGTCAAGATATGTTTTTATGAACTTGTCGATTTTGTTTCTGTTCCATTGAAGTCAATGCGATTCGCTTTGATGATGGAGTGAACGATCAAACGGTTTCCATTTTCATGCAATGGACATATGGTAACACACACTCACCTAGAGACCGTATTTTAAATAAATACCATTACCAATTCTAATATTTATACTTGGCACTATTAGTTTGTCAAAGATCATTTAGGGTGTGAGACTTCGTTGATGAAACCATCTGATTGGCTTTAGCCTGCAAACTACAGTTTCCGGATAATTATTTTCATTTCAGTCACCTTCTAGAAAATCTACTTTTTAAACGTTCATGCTTTGCAAACAGCAATCATTTTACTAGTAAATTATTCAGTCAATAGCTGTTTCACCACGATTTACCCTGTTAGAATAAAACATGTAAACAGCTGAAGAAGTTATTTGAGTCCTCAGGATATCCTTCTCAGAACACAGGCTTAGCGAAAAACACTGTAAACACGTGGATGGTGATTACACATCAAGTGATTTCCATTGTCTCCAAGACTGTTGTTGCCATCGTCGTACCTTCATCCATTTATTCATTTAACACGACACGCATTCACAAATGTTTATAAATTATTCGGCTGGATGTAGTTGAGGGAGTCATGTTGCCTGTTTGCATTCCAGCCGTAGTCAGAGAGGAATCGGCCATCAAATTTCCACTCATCGTCTGAGACAACTCTCAGTCTGGTTTGATTTACCCCCAACTTTACCCGGACGCATCAGCCAGACAAGGACCAGGTCACGTAAAACATGCTCGAGTTAATGAATGCCTTGAAGACAGATTTGTTCAATTAAGATTCATTGTTCATTGCTCATGATTCTGACTTCAGACGTTCACATAAATATAGTCAATGATATGGATAATATAAACCGTTCGGTTAAATGAATAAGATACCACTTAATGAGGCTCCGAATCCACTATGAGTAGTGTTGGAAATAGCGAGACTTACCGAATTGGTAGTCGTGGTGCTATCGGTAGAACGAATCTTCTCTAAAAGAGCCGTGAAAGAACCGGTGGTAGTATTTGGCAGGTAACGTTCTGTCAGGCCAGCTGAACTAGCTCGAAACCAGTCAGACATCCACTGATTCCAAAACAGATGAGACTGGAGTGATGAGTGAAAGAAAGTGTTCGCCATGTGGTTCAAATTAGTTGTGCTGGTGGTAGTAGGTGTGGTGATAGGTGTAACAATTCTTGAGAGGGGGTTGTTTTCGCGCAGTGCGGGTGGTGGCGGTGAGTTAAGTGGGTAGAACATGGGTCGCTCTACCGGTAATCGAGTAGCATCAGATAACGTATTGGGCGCAGTAGGGAATCCAGATGGAACAAGGCTTGGATGCATGATGGATGTTTCAGATCGAATACTTGATTTAAAAGAGCTGCCACTAAGTCCTTGTTTTTGAGCACTGATGGCATTCATGTTGGCTATGTCATGCCAGCTTGAAGATGGTACGGTAACGGACTCTTCGAGGCAACCGTTCACTTCCAATCCTGGTAGCTTGCCGTCCTCACACCGACCGGATAGTTCGAAACCGTTTTGCAGAATTCGTTCCAGACGTCCAAGTTGAAATTTTGTCGCAGCCTGTTCCCGTTGAAAGTTATCCAAACGGCTTGCGAATTGTTCCAGACGTTGACTTAACTGTCTTTCGAATAACCCGAAGAACGAATGATAAATACGATTCAATGTTTCCTGTAATGGGGCATTCGGTGAAAATGTTTGGAGCCAGTTGTGCATTGGATACAATGGTGGCGCTATAGGAAATGTAGGTTGTGAATTACCCATTTTATCAAGACCAATTTTCATCGTGTTTGTGCTGCAGTTGTTGAAAGTTTCATTTCGATCTGTGATACTGCCATCGGACAGCATGGATGAACCGTTGGGAGAATTGTCAGTAAGTGGCATATGAGCCGGTTGAGTCGTTTGTTGATTGCAATCTATCACAGGACGCATATCCATTTCAGATTAAAATCAAAACTCTTCAACAGATGAATCAATTTCACAATGTTCTCGTTAGTTTTCTTTCTATACTGCGAGTGAGTACCAACTTGCTGCGTCTCTTCTTTATCTGTGCGTGTCGTGAATGCCTTTTAAACAGGATCTCCCTTGTATGGATATCACAGAGGTTAATGAAACGCACGTTGTATGGTTGTATGGTCAGCTTCATTCGTGGTCTGCAGGGATAACAGTGCGTGTGTAGTTTCAACTCTGTGCGTGCACGTGCAGGCCTGTGTGCTTGCTTCTGTGTGTATGTGGTCTGCCTTGTCCAAACGCAGAGACCAGTGTCATACACGCGGGCAAGCACAATTGCTTGTAAGCAATGCTTTTGAATGTTCCAAACACCTATTCCCCGGCTGGAAACGAAATGATTTGAAGACGAGTTTAGACCATGTTTTCTCTCTCTTTCTCTCTTTCTCTCTTTCTCTCTCTCTCTCTCTCTCTCTCGCTTTCGCTCTCACTCGGTCTGTGACATGACAAGCACAACTTCACATGCTGTGCATGTTGAGGTGAAGCTGTTGACGATGGTGATGGTGGCGGTAATCACTGACTTGATGATCCGTTTCTGGTCCTGATTACACGCATAGCGCAGCTGGTGCGCGCATGCACACACACGGTTGCGGTGCTGTGCCCACTGCTTTTTGAAGCACGCTTCTTGCTATCTTCGTAGGTGCACAGTTGCAAATAAAATCCTCTGAAACGGGATTGGATACGTGCCCATATGTCCAGCTTGTATGTGCATACGTTCACGCGCACGATTTGAGGCGTTGTGCCTCAATGTGCCATAACGGTCACGGAACGAGGTTGCACGGAGCATGGTCAGAGGAATACGGCATTCTAGTCTAGTTTTGGTAGGGAAGTGCGAATAAACACACACGCACAGGAAATTTTGTGCGTGTACATCCTCAGGTGTGTGGTCTGAACAGTCCCGATTATCATCGTCATCAACATCGTCATCACAGACACCCCGAGACCGAGATCAACCCACCGCCCATGAGGGCACAGCGTGACCAACTTGACCGGTTCTTCCTTCCAAATGGGCTGGGTTGATAGACCAACAAACATCCCCACCACAAGGGGGGGCCACTAGCAATTTGTCTGTTTCCGATTGGCGGTCCGAGAACCTACGCAGGTTGATCTCGTGCACATCAAAGTGTGACCATTAGCGTCATTGGACCTACTATCGTGGCACAAATGTCGGTAACCGTTTGCTGCATGTAGATGTTTTATCGTTCTGCACTGTTAGTTTCCATGTTGTTTCATATTATGATCGGCTGAACAGAACCCAAATCACTCGCCAGCTATTTCCTGTGGTATCATAGTGCACCGAACTAAACGTGTACAGAGGAACGAATTACGCGAGTTCAGTTCAGTTCAGTTTGCACAACCATCAACCATGCGCTATCGTGCACCGGTTTTGGTTGCTATCTTTCGGCTGCCCATTTGGATAAACATTAGGAGAAAGACAGGAATGGTTGAATAGAAGACGAAAGCATCGTTCGTTTAAACAAGGCAAAATCGGTGAAAATGTCATTAAATTTGAATGACCAAAATAACACGGGGAACACGTTGTTACTTCTCGCAATGAAATTAATCTAACACAACATCTACTCCTCTGACTCCAAATCGTCTTGTACGAGACGCACACATGCATCCTGAAAAGGCTGTAAAAGTGCACACCTTTTTTTTTACCGTGGGGGACTAGCCAGCTAATTAATAGGTAAGCAAAAACTAACTTTGCAAACACTACGGTTACTTTGATACCTGCTCAAAGAGCTTATCTTAGTGGATTTAGTTTGTAATACTAAACATGTGTAGTTTCTCAACAATGGTTTTCCGACTTCTGTTTAGACCGATAGCGCTTCCAAACTGCTCAATTGTTTTTAGCCTTCTCAGATTTGGCTCGCAAGTCGTCTTCGGTGAGGGGCCTTATCTCTTTGCCATCTATCAGTCAAACTATGAATGCGAAACGATTTTATTATTCTTGATGGGTGCACTGGTCACTGCTGACTTCTGAAACTAACATTTAGTTTTATGCTGAATGCGGCTGGTCGATAAGCTAAGAGAAACCCACAGTAATCATAAATATCTTTCATATGTGCGAAGATATTTCAATCAGCATACCTAACTAGCACAAGGTGGCCATTCTCCAAAAAAAAAATCAACATTGCGCTTTTCTGGTTCTCACTATTTTGAAATGCTTAATTTGGAATATGTTAAGGATAGCTTCATCCTAGCTTTGGTACATTTCAAAGTAGTTTTGTATGGAAAGGAACATAATTTAGCGTTTTAGAAATCTTCAAAATGTGTAAGCTTCTGAGGAAATGATATTCAAGACGTACGGTGCGTTAAAACTGAAGTCAGTCACCAAGTTAAAAAACATTTAACCGATTTCCCTGCAACGAATATCATATCGTAAGCAACCCTTCTGATCACTTTACCCGGTTTTAGTGATAATGCGAATTTTGCATTACATTGCATTATTTAAGCGCATTCTCTCTGAAAAACTATGACGCATGTTATTCTTTTAGGTTCCTTTTAAACTCATTTGAAAAAGAGGAGAACGAAAGAGCAACCAAGGTCTACTCATTGTTTGAGTAATACAATGTTATGAAATCAACTGAAGCGTATACAAACCACAAATAATAAGAATTCTCGAAAACTGTTCCATCAATTATATAGCGCAAAAGCAACACTCTGAGCAACATACATCGATCTTTAATTTATTCTAATGGTAGCTCCTTTAAATTGTCAGAACACTCGAGGTTTGAGTTTTCCTTGTAGTCTTTAGCTTGATGGACCAGTAGAGGAGATTAATCTTTCCGTTCGGTCATATTAGCCGGCAATCTTAACTCCCGGAATTGTAGCAGCGAACCACATTGAGCCCTGATAAGAGAGGCTTGTTATTGAGTCGGATGACCGAAAGGTTTTCTGCTACCAAAGTGAAATGGACAGTGACAGACCATGAAGGTTGAAACTCAGAACTGTGAACGCATTAGTGATAACGAATAAGGAAATCTGACCACCACTGTCAACCACCGTTGTCATTCGTGATGCACGGCGAGCTTCCAACAGCAAAATACACACACGCACACTCATCACGTAAGCACTAGTTTATCAAAGAATTACTCAAATAAACAATAAAGTAACTTAACGAAACACAGAAGCGCATCACTTTCTTCGTTTGATAATGTTTGGGTAAAGGGTTTTCTAAATTTTCCCAATACATCGATGAACACAGCTGGTATATTTCAATATTTTTACTAAACATTATATTTGATAGAGAGTAAGTAAACAATTATTTTGAAGAAAAGCCTGAGAAAACCGAATGGGCTAATACAAACATCCATCATCTCAAAGGAAGATATACTTTTAAAATTCTTACGAAGTGAAAGGAATTACTACTTTTTGCCAATAGTGTTGGAAGTTAAACGCAAACTACGGACTGTTACATTCATTATCCTGGGTTCTGCCGGGAATTGTGATGACATGTCAAAAAAAGATATTTCGTTTGTATATTTGTTTGTACCCCAAATTATCGATATCCGATATCGATATCCGCAATATACAGTTATCCTCGTTCAGGCACCGTCTTGTGGAATTATAACACCAAACTTTTTCTCATCAAGTTTTAGCCAAAACCCGCAGTCCTTTAGCCTCGACGCACAAACTTTAGTCATATCACTGTAGATGAGTCAGATCAAAAATTATCGGAATATTCTGAAGTCAACGGATGTTGAAACAAATTATTTTCTTCAAACGTTTATGTTGCAAAGCTTGGTTAATAAATGAGAAGGTGTGGGGTCGCGCGCTGCACCACATGTTAACTGGAGAAGGTTTAACAGTTGTATCGTGTTACATTTGAGATTTTTACTCATTGCAGTATTGCACGTTGTACGGAAACACTCAGGCTGTCCGACATGTGCCAAATAGTTTCACGATACGGGCCCACCCGTTAAACCTTCTCCAGTTAACATGTGGTGCAGCGCGCGACCCCATACCTTCTCATTTATTAACCAAGCTTTGCAACATAAACGTTTGAAGAAAATAATTTGTTTCAACATCCGTTGACTTCAGAATATTCCGATAATTTTTGATCTGACTCATCTACAGTGATATGACTGAAGTTTGTGCGGCTAAATGACTTCGCGTTGTGGTTAAAGCCTTTCGGGGTTTTGCTAAAGGAATGCGGATTAAG